CCTGGGCCAAACACTAAGTCAGCGCTCTGAACAGCTCTTAAAGTAGCCAAGAAGGAACTACGGCAAGAGATATTTTTCTCAACGCCGTTACCCAATTGCCTGCCTAAAGCCTGGCTCAGCCATTTACAAGCATTTGAGGAGCACACCCCATTTCCAAAATGTCCCACCAGTCTTCTTGGGGCAGACATGGCCTAGTGGCTTTTGCGGGGGTCTTGGTGTGAGGTATGGAGACCCCAGCACACATCCACATGAGCTGCTGGGAGGAGACCGAGACCTGGTGATTACAGCAGGAAGGGAATTGGGAGCCGGGGCATGAAACTAGAGAGGGGAAACATTTAAGCTTTAATCTTGGAAACAGCTTCCTGATAGTAGATTTATGAGCAATGGGAATAGTCTCCTTTGCAGAAGGCTGGAAGCACTGTTGCACAGGGCTTTAAAAACAAGACCGGATAAAAGAGTAGACAACAGACATGAGGAATGGATTTTGCTTTGACCAGAAGATGGATAGGACCCAATGGTTCACTTCCAGCCCCAGCCACCCAGCCCATACATCAGCGGCAAATCTCACACCTGCCTTCTGTGGCATTTGCCCATTTATGCGATTAACCAGCACAGGCTGTCAGAATGTTACTGCACTGCTATGAAAGGCATCCAAACAAATGTGACCAGCCCAAATTTCTATCCCTGCTCTCACCCCGCTGCAGCTGTGGAGGTGACCTCTTGGGGCTGCTACAGAACCTCATTTTTCAGCTAACGCCTGGGTGTAGTAGCCAGAACCAGGGGCTTGACACATCCGACTTTTGTGCGGGAGCCTGTGGAAGGGGTATTTTCATTAATACATGCGTCTTGTTTAACTTGGACGTTGAAGTAGCTGAACTTTTTCTGACTTGGTTCTCTCTGTATATATATCACACTTTCCTGTAATCAACCTTTCCTTTTTTCCTGACTTGGCCTTTCCCAGCAAGTTCTTGGGTATTGATTTTCTTCAAAGCTGCTTTAATGCTGCCGAAGGATGCTGAAGTGACAGCTCTGGCGATCCAAGCACTATACTCACCCACGAAAGCCATCCAAGCTCAGGCAGCCGCAATGCAGGCTTCACAGCTCCTCACTCCCCTGGCCCCACTTCCAACCTCAGCATGACCTGATTACAGCAAGGGGTGAAAAAGCAGCCAAAAAGAGCAGCACCTCTCCATAGCTAGCAGAGATCCTCCCGATTTCCTTCGTATACGTCCTCTAGCAGTCACAGGTGAGCATCAAGCTGCTCGGCTGCATGTAGCTAAGCCCCCATCACATCATATGTGGATGCACGACACAGTGCAGCTGGCTCCGATCCAGTGCCCAGGAGGCTGGGGCAGAGCTGGCAATCCCAGGGGCTGCGTGCTCTGCTCCCAGACCCTTCGCCAGGGTCTGTTGGGAAGCCTGCCGGAGGCTCAGCCTCGTAAAACTGCCAAGCCAGTGCCCTGAGAAGGGATTAGATGTGAAAGTCTGTGACCTCAGCCGAGTACAGCAAGTCAAAAGCACTCTGACTTCAGGCTTATTGCCCCACAAAAACATCAGTGAAATCATTTCATTAATCCCCAGGGCCTCATTTCCTTCCTTCCCTCAGCCAAGCTGAAGCTTAAAATAGTATTTTGCATTCCTCGTATTTCACTCCAAAACTAATTAATACCCAATCAGCCACAAGCTCTTCTCGCAGCAGCCTGCCTTGATCGTGCAACCTGCCCACCCTTGGCAACAGCAAAAGCACCCTACCAGGCTCCCAGCTCCTCCCAAAAGATATTTCTGATGGAGCATCTGGAGAGAACTGCACTAAGGCAACAGAAAACAGGAAAACAGTGAAATTAAAGCCCCACGTGCAGCCTTACCTCTGTCCCATGTGCACACACAAGTCCTCGGCGCCCATAAACAAGCACACGCTGCAGTAATTCCCCAACGCCGCAAGCACGGCCGCTCTTCACCAGCTTCTAGCAGCCCCTAAAGGCAAAAGCACAAGTTACCTTCTGCCTCCTCTCGTTGGTACCTGTGATACAATGCAGGGCTGAAACCGCACCCCAGCCTGCTCTCCCAGGCTTGTGGAAATGAAGAGGAAACTCTTTTATTCGGATAAAAAGGTCTGGCAAAGCCTTCCGAGTCAGTGCAGGGGATAGGAAAGAAGATGGAGCATGGGACTTTCTTCATTTGGACTTCACAGCCACTTCTCACCCTCTTGGTAGCCCAGACCAAGCATGAGTCAATCAACCAGGCTGGGCAGATGGCGGAGCACAACTGCAAAGGAAGGGGTGCGAGGCTAAGCTGGAAAGGAAGCCTCATCCGGGAGAGCTCTGAACATGTTACCCCATGAGAAATCAAGCCCCCTCGCTACAAGATCTTTCTTGCTCCAAACCCACACATACCAGGCACAGAGGATCACAGACGAGGTGCAGGCTGTCTGGCACGCAGGGACTACAGACAAGGAAAGGCTGTAATGAGTGTCCCAAACACTTGGGGAAGACATGGCAGCTACAGAGGAGAGAGCAGAGGTCAGCAGGTGCTGCCTCACACCGACCACTCCATGCTTCACGTCAGTTTAGTTTTTAGCCTGAACTTCCACCCAGGGACCAAACGCAAGGGCAGACTTTGTGCTCCAGCCAGTCTCAGGAACACCAGCCCTCGCTTGCCGCATTAGCGGGACAGCCTCATTAAAACAACCATGAGGAACACGGGGCAGGACCTCAGATCTGAAGTTAGTTTTGCATTGGCTACAGCCCATGTCAGAGAACAACCCCAGTCCCCAGAGCTGAGGTGGCCTTGTCACAGAATCACAGAATCGCAAAGGTTGGAAGGGACCTTGGGAGATCATCTAGTCCAAGCCCCCTGCTCAAGCAGATTCTCCTAGAGCATGTTACACAGGACTTCACTCAGGTGGGGGTTGAATATCTCCAGAGAAGGGGGCTCCACAACCCCCCTGGGCAGTCTGGGCCAGGGCTTGGGCACCCTGAGTAAAGTTTTTCCTCATATACAACTGAAACCTCTTATGTTTCAGTTTGTCCCCATTGGCCCTGGATGAGGAGCTG